CTCCCTGGTTTCTTGGGCGTCACGACGGGGAGCGTCGCTTCGCCGGTACTGTGCGAGCCTCCCTCCCTTGATGAGGGTTTCAATGGCGTCCTTGAGGTGGACGTAATCCTCAGTCAGGTGACCATGGCTCCTATGGTACTGACAATATTTGTTTTTGTCTGCTCCGGGCTTGGCAGGAGCAGGTCGAGGACGTTTGACACCGCCGTCCTTGAAATCGGTGCTGGCACACTCCGCCAGAATGCGCTCGCGGGAAGCCGTGAGCGGAGTGTACTCGGTGAAGCGCCCCGAAGGTCCTCTTTGTTCCCGGACTTCCCGGGGTCTGTCTTCCTTCCTTTTCTCCCCAGTTCGTCGAGGAGGAGCCTCTTGGCGCGAGCTGCTGTTGGGACCACGAGTCCTGGAATCTCGGGCTCTGTTGGCCGCCTCCCTCTCCTCGTAGTCCATGTATGCTCGGGCCTTTTCGAGGAGGGCATCGAATGTCCGAGGTGGCTCGATACCCACGGCCTTTCTGAATTCTGTGCCGGGGAGGAGCCCTCTCTCCAGCAAGTATCTTTTTATATGGTCCGCGCAGGGGACCTGTATTGCTTCCCGGTTGAAGCGGTTGATGAATTCCCTCAAGGTTTTATCCTGTCTTTGGATGATGGCTTCGAGGGCCGCCTCGGTCTTCGGATGGCGCCGAGAAGCTGTGAAGGAACTGATGAACTGGTTCTTCAGGTTCCGCCACGACGTGATTGAGCCCGGGGCGAGTCCTTTGTACCAGTCCATCGTCGCCTTCCTGAGAGTCGTGGGGAATAGACGGCACTTGATGGGGCCCCCGACATTGTGATAGTGAAGCATAGCCTCAAACCCGTCTATGTGGTCGACCGGGTCCGCGACTCCATCATACTCCTTCAAGTGAGGGGGCTTCTCCATGCCCGGGGGGATGGGTGCCTCCATAATAGCCTGTGACAGGGGACCGCGGGGGTCGTCCTCGTCGCTTCTCTCCGGAGACAGAGATGGGGACCTGTAATATTGTCTGGCACGACGGTCCAGATCGTGCTGAGTTTCTCTCGAGCGGTATGCTCGGCTGTTGAATTTCACGCGCCCATTTCCGGAGTGCCTTCTTTCTAGTACCGCCGGGTCGCGACTGGGCTCTCCGGCCTGAATGATGGGCTGCCTCTCCAGGTAAGGTCGTCTCTGTTTTGGCCGGGGAGATGGACTTCGAGAGGTCTCCCTGTAGTGTCTCCGCGGGGGAGAGGAGTGTCGAGCTTCAGTCACTCGAGGAGGGGGAGTATGTGGTCTCCGATGCCTCCTCGGGGGTCTTCGCTCGTCTTCAAGCGCCTTTAATCTCTCTCCTTGGGCGAAGATGAGATAGTTCGTTTGATTAATTGCTGCGAACAGCGCTTGTGTTGTGGCATCCGCCCCGGAGGGGACGGGGACTTCCTGGAACCGGGCAGCTCTGTAGTGGGCGAGGGTCGTCGGGTCGTTCTCGAGTGGTGGTGGGAGCGAGGAGGATGATGCGGTAGCTCCGTCCCTGTAGGAGGAAGTTCCGAGGGCGGTTGTTGCAGGAATGGTGTTGTGGCCGGGATTGCCGACGTTGTCAAGATGTCCGTTTTTGTCCGTTGTGCCGTTATTAGTGTCGGTGGCACGGACGTTCTGCTCGTCGCGAGCTTGATCAGCCATGACAGGTAGTTGAATTTGAGCTTTGGTCTTTGAGTTTGCAAGACGGGAAAGCTAGTTTCCCACAGACGGCGCCACTGATCTAACCTGATCAGACTTGGACCGTCACGGCTGGCTCCGAGCTGAAATTTTGAACGAGGTGGGGGGTACCTGCAAGACACTCCGATGCTGAAGTGAGTAAGAGCACGAGCAGGCAATAGTAAGAGTATGGGTAGAATGATGAACACCTGACCCTCTGGAAACAGAGGGTATTTATAGCCCCCAGCGCTGGGTCAAGGTTCCTTCATTGGGCCGGGCAGGTTTGGCCCAATGGAGGAACTGCCAGGTTCTACGTGCGTAGTGGGGACCCGCACGTGGTCCCCTCCCTGGATGTTCTGCATGAAGTGCGGGCGGACAGAGACGCGGTCTTTTCGGAGTCCCGTTGAGAATGCAGTGGACTGAGTCTGCCCTAAGAGGGGTGCTCGATGTGAGGTCGAGCTGGACAGTAGGAGGTCGAGCAAGTAACCCCAGGGAGCACGTCGGGCACGACTGTGACCCTTTGGTCGGCGTGACCCCCAGCAAATCCGTTTGGATTGGGCCTTATCAATGCTATTGGGCCAGTCGGGCCCAGTCCAGAACAAAACCCAAAAAAATTTATAAATTTTCGGGCTGGCCCAATTAATACGGCTCGTTTTGCCGGCTCTACTCATTAGAGAAAAAAATGTTATAAGTTATGTATTTTATTTTCGGTTACATTATAAGTTATGTATTAGATACATGTACGATCGACAAAATTGGAGAATTTCTTAATAAGGTATTAAATGTTTAGTTTACACTTTAAAATACGTTGCTAACAAGTGTTTGATAAGTTACATCAATCAAAATATACAATATTAAATGACGTGAGACGGTGGTGATGAATTGGATAACAAGATCAATCAAAACATACGAAAGCAGACACAACAAAGAGTTCAATCCGTCTTGAACAAACAGACAGACAACCAAACAAAACATACAATAATTAAAAACTCCCCTCATGTCACACGTTCTTCTGTGTCTTTTTCTGCTAGTAGTTACTATATCACCACACCAACCATTCCTTCTCTTGCAATGTAGCTTTATACAAAGTATACACATTTTCTGATTTTAACTTCATGGGGAGTACCACTGCGTCATCTGGTGAGTTGGGTTGCTTTCAGTTTTTCTTATCCTATTGGTTTTGTTTTTTACAAGTTCAATTTTTGGTTGAAACTTGAGTCATCATGTTCTTATTGTATCTGTTTTGGTTGTACCAGAGATTGAAACTGATAGTGATTTTAAAGTTCATGTGTTCTCTTCATCATCTGAGGTGAGATTTTAAAGCCTCACTTTTTTGTACCATCTTTGATTACCTAATACAATCAATAACTTTGAATTCTTCAGTTACTAGAGAAGCTTCATCAAACATGGAGTTTAGTGGAGAAACAACCATATCCAGCTATGTATTCTAGTGTCTATGGAGGTATCATACTTGATCCAGCAATGATGGTAATCCCCTTAGATGATCACATGGTTCATAGAGGCCATGGTGTGTTTGATACTGCTATCATTTTACAAGGGTAATACTTCTTTTTTTGTTTTTCATGCAACAAACCATTATTGAACAAAATCGATTCGACTTCTGGTTGTCAGACTTTATTTACTTCTCTGATCTTGGTGTTTATATTGTTTGTTTTCTCAAGATATCTCTATGAGTTGGATGTTCACCTTGATCGTTTCTTGAGATCGGCTTCCAAGGCCAAGATAACCTCGCCCTTTTCGCGATCGACTCTTCGAAGCATTCTAATCCAACTAACTGCAGTATCAAAATGCAAGAAAGGAACATTAAGATACTGGCTAAGTGCAGGTCCTGGTGATTTCCTGCTGTCATCATCAGGATGTCCAAAACCTGCATTCTATGCGGTAGTCATTGACTATGATTTTTCTCAGTGCAAAGAAGGTGTCAAAGTGATTACTTCCAGTGTACCAATGAAGGCACCTTCATTTGCCACAATGAAAAATGTAAATTATCTTCCTAATGTACTATCAGTATTGGAAGCTGAAGAGAAAGGAGCGAATAGTTCTGTGTGGATTGATGATGTTGGTTATATTGCTGAAGGACCGAATGTGAATGTTGCTTTCATAACTCGAGAAAAGGAACTCGTTATGCCTTGTTTTGATAATATATTATCTGGTTGCACTGCTAAAAGGCTTCTTGATCTCGCGCCAAAGTTGGTTCATCAAGGTGTTCTCAAAAGTGTAACAACTAAAAATCTCACTGTTGAAGAAGCTAAAAGTGCTGCTGAGATGATGTATGTAGGTAGCACACTTCCTGTGTTGCCTATCATAGTGTGGGATGATCAACCAATTGGTGATGGTAAGATCGTGACCGAAATTATCTATCTATCTATATCCTTCACATAATTATCGGTTTTCGGTCGAACAATGAATTATTCGGACTGCTATTCGGATCTCCTTTCCACATTGTGATTTTTATTTGTTCAATTGTCTCTGTTTTTTCAGGTAAGGTTGGAGAATTAACAATGTTACTTTCGGATTTGCTATGGGGTGATATGGTAGCTGGCCCTGACACACAGAGACTACTTGTTCCTTATGTTGAGTGAACAAACATACAAAACATTTGGGAATGCATGTTCTTATGTTCCATGTTATATTGATTTACAATGTGAATTCTGTACAAGTTCAAGTGTGAACAAGTCCTGAAGTGAAGCAGTAAATATTTGCTGCTACACAAGTTTGTTATATATCAAATAAAATCATTGAACTGTTCCATGTTGTTTTAAACAAGATTTTGCACGTTAAAGTTAATTGTTCCATTCTTTTTCAAGCAACCAAGAACAAGAAGAATCTTTTATGTTTGTTTTAACCTATGTAGACAGAAGGAATCAATTAGTTAGTGCCGTCTAGTATATTATGTTTCATTGTTTAAACAAATACTATTATTTACTTAACTCTTTGTTTTCATTTGAAAGGTTGAGGGTTGTTTCATTATTTACTATTATTTAGAACAAACCAAAATTGATATATTTTTTTCGAGAAATTATAGCAATTTTAGATAGCTACTTCCAAGAGACAACTATTGAAAAATAAGAATCAATGAAGTCTGTTACAATATGGATGTTACTGAGAAAATCTTAATTATACAGCACTACTGTCCCTATCACTATGAGAGAAAATTAAAAGAAAAACAAATTGATTAACAATGATATACTAATAGGAAATTGAAAAGCAATTTGTTACAATGATATATATGTACATTTAATCAAAATAAATTATTCAACAGAAACAGCACACAAAAATGACAAAATAGTAACTTCTAACTTGGCTCAAGATTGGTTTAGATCCCGCGAAGTTTGGCCTTGCCATCTGTGAAAACAAAGAATCAGAGCTGGCTTCATTAGCAAGCAACCAATTTACTATTTATTGTAAAATTATTCAAAGAGAAAATGGTAACTTCAAGAACCTTGATAGAAGAAATCTTGCAAGAGGGCTTAAGTTGCTATTTGGATGAGGTTCCTTGTTATGCTGTTTCCTTCTGTTATCAGCCTCTGCATTTAGCGTTTCTTCCGCTGACTTGCCTTTGCTGAATAGTTGGCTTGCCAGTCCTTTCAGGTCCTTCAATGAATCTTTGTTCGAACTGCCCACACAAAAGAATGAGAGAGATAGGTTTGTTTAATGGAAATTGGTTTGCGTAACGAACGTTGGTGGAAGGCGAACCTTGCTAATCTCTGAAGCAATTGTTTTACAAGAACATCAGAGGATCTAGGCTTAGTGCCCTCCATGTTTACTAAAGAATTGATAACTGCCCGCACGATTTGCCCTTCTGGATCATCAGCAACAGCCTGTAGAGCAATCAAAAACATGAGCAATGGCCCACATAACCAACACTAACATCCTACAACGATAACATATTTAAAAAGATGTGTATGGTTTCACCTCTTTTAATGAAGGAATAAGCAAACTTGATAATGTCGCTGACGATGATATTGTTCTAGCACTCTCTTCATCATCACTGGCATGATGCGATCTTACATTGCCCCTTTGTGCATCAATATATTCACGATATGATCTATAAATAAAAATCTTCGTAATTTACAATCAAAAAATTCAGAAATCTATTTCATCAAATGAATTTTTTAAACCATTATTGCTAGAAGTACCTGGAAGAATCAGTGCTGCTGGTCATTTGTTCTCTTTTACTTTCCTGTACATCGGTATTGATTTTCCCTCGAGGATGTCTCTCCCGAGCATTCACTTTTCTTAACCCTCCTTGGATAGCAGCCCTTGCCTGTAGAGAGGAAGAGGTAAGAACTCGCTATCTGACCAAGAATTAATCCCAAACATGAAAAAATGAAAAAATCCAACACAAGTTTAAGCAAATACGCCCTAGAAATTGAGTGTGTAAACAGGCATAAATATAAAATGGGAAATCGTAAAATACATTGGCGACTGTTCTTTGAATACATCAAATGTATCATGGAAACAAACTCAAGCAAGAAACAGGGGAGGGGCGGAAGGTTCGTGATGCCACACACTGTTCAACTCACAAGTGAAATCATAACTTATATTACGAAAGAATAGAACCTCGGCTAGGTTTGCAGCACTATCTTCAAGTGAGGCATTTGAACTTCTGTCATGAAGTCCTAGTCGGGACCTTGGAGTCCGTGGAGAATCAGAATCATCATGCTGGCTACGTACAACAACGGTTCCACTAGTAGAAGTATCTTCAAAAGAAGCATAGCTACTGCTGGACTACATTCCATTAAAACTCTCAATAAGTGACTGCACAGTTAAATAACCAGTTTCTCATCAGAGTAACTCTGCTAGAATGCTACCTGGGAGCTCTGATCACGAAACACTGATGGCTTTGATCCTTTTGGAGATCGAATAACAACAGTTCCTGATCCATTCTCAGACAATTCATCCTGCAAATCAAAGAATTCAGAATATCAAAGCATTTCATGGTTGTCTAAAATGAAACTTTATCGAGTTTGTTTGAAAACCATCTTTAGTTTATGACAGACACAACTCATTCACTTGAGATTTAAAAAGATGAACTCTCTATATGATAATAGCGCCAGACATTTTAATCATTTTTTGTGTATATGATAATAAACTGGTGGCAACATAAGATGGAACAGAAACTGATGCTTGATGCTGCTAGACATCATTGCTTTAAAATTCCTATTGACTGCACAAATAAATAACCAGTTTCTTTTCAGAGAAACTCAGCTTGAATACTACCTGGGAGCTATGGTCACGAAACACAGATGGCCTTGATATTCCTTTGGGAGAGCGTATAACAACAGTTCCAGATCCAGATAATTCATCCTGCAAATTTAATATTTCAGAAGATCAAAGAGTTTCCTGGTTGTTCAAAATGAAACATCATTAAGTCATAGGAAATCCAGTTTTACTTCATGATTGACACAACGCATTCACATATATCGTTTGACAAGGTGAGTTCCCTTAATGATTATACTATCACAGACATCTTAAGTATTGTTTATGCAGTTAAAGTGGGTGGCAACATAAGATGGAAAAATATAATACTCAGTCTCAGCTTAATAATTCAGGCTTAAGGCTTAATATCCAATGTGGCAGCTCAATAATATTACACATTTGATTCAGTTAACTTTCTGTAACATAGACCGATATGCATAGTAAGAATTAATTACATCTTCAAGCTGATTATCCGGGTGCTCGTGATGGTAAGGAGCTCTAAGATCTTTTTCAAGTGATTGATTGGCTGCACTTCTATTGGCATACCCCCCTTGATAACCAGCGTCTGGAGCTTTTTTTTGGGTAAGCTGATTATATAAAACATCTGTTTTCTTATCTCTAGACTGAGGCGGCCGTGAAACACTTCGAAAGGTTCCAGTACCCTCTGATTCACCAATGCTAAAGTCCCATTCAGAACTTTTCAGGGTTTTAACCTGACTGCTGCAAATTACAAACTGTTAATAAAAAAATCAATTTTTAAAATTAAAAAACCAGTAAGCCAATGGTCTTGCAACTAACCTAGGTCGATTATTTTCTTCAACTCTAAAATCTCTTGCGACTTTCATAGTATCTGATCCTTCACCAATCCCTCTTGAGCCATTTCTAGGTGTCTCCAGGTCTTCTTTAAGTTGGAATTTTGGACGCTCCCTACTGTGAAACCACAAGTCATGATCTTGACAACCACAAGACGGGGACTAACATTGTAACTTTCAAACGAAAAAAACTGCTAAGAACGCACAGAAAAAGGAGTTCCGGTGCTACTTTAGGATATCGGCATTTTTTTTATCTGAGATCCCACAACTTCAGAATAAATAAAAGAGAAAGAAAACAAATAGCCAAAAGCAAAAATCGGTAGAATTTTTTAACTTAAATATAGCAAGGTATTTATCAAAAATCCACACCTTATTCTTTCCAAAAGCTTTGTACTCTTCCTAGCATTCCGAATAAAACGGTCTTTGAGAAGTTCCTTAGCACTTAGCCTCTGGAATTGAAACCATTACAAAGGAGAAATTAAGAGATTGCTGAGAGAGAACTTCATCAGTTCCAATTCAAAGCCTAGTCTAGAAAAGTCTTTAATTAAGGAAACTAAGCGATACATCTTATTGAATTAGGAGAGACTAAGAGACATTTAGGTTAAACCGCATGTTTTTGAAAAGTACTATGGAGACTTTATTATATATAGAGAGATTACAGCTATTTACATGATATAATCGATGTGGGACTATTCTATATACAAATATTCTTAACACTATATTTACAAATATCAACACTCCCCCTCAAGCTGGAGCATATAAGTCAAATGCATCAAGTTTGCCACATATATAATTAGTTCTGAGACTTCGCAGAAATTTTGTGAACACATCTGTCAATTGATCATTAGAGTTGACAAAGCTTGTGACGATGTCGTCGGATTCGATCTTCTCTATGACAAAGTGACAGTCTATCTCAATATGTTTGGTCCTTTCATGGAAGACTGGATTTGAAGCAATGTGCAATGCAGTTTGATTATCACATACAAGTGTCATTGGTCTTGTTTCTTCAATTTGAAGTTCTTTGAGCAACTGTTTTAACCAAATGAGTTCACATGTTGCCATTGCCATGGCCCTATACTCTGTCTCAGCGCTTGATCTTGCAACTACATTTTGTTTCTTACTTTTCCAAGATATAAGGTTTCCTCCAACAAGTACACAATACCCAGAGGTGGATCGTCTATCAATTGGTAACCCTGCCCAATCAGCATCGGAGTATCCAACTATCTGAGTATGTTTTTTATCTTCATACACTAAATCTTTTCCTGTAGCACATTCGATGTATCTCAGAGTCCGGATAACAACATCCATGTGTTCCTGACAAGGGGAATTTAAGAACTGGCTTACCATACTGACTGCAAAAGAAATGTCTGGACGAGTGACTGTGCAACTTTTCCAAATCCGATACTCATGGCTACTCCTCTGAACTTTACCCCAAACTACGATGATAACATAAGTCAATATAATGTGGAGAAGGATTTCGTGTTTGACTATACCTTTTCGAAGGACAATCGAAAGATCAGACTCAGGTTGCAGGATCGGATTCGGTGATGGCGAGAGCGGATCGGATTCGGTGATGGCGAGAGCGTCGGAGGAGAGTCTGCAATGACCTCAGGGACATGTACGATCTCAGGGACAGGTACGACCTCAAGGACAGGTACAACAAACGTTGGTTGACGACGCTGATATGTTTGAAGTGGACGAGAAGTCGGGGGGTCAACCGTAGGGTTATCTAGTGGGTTAGATTCCCCAAAAATGATAGGGATAATGACATATGGGATTTCCGGAAGAGGTGTGGGAGTACTCTCCTGAAGGAGTTCCGAAGTTACTTGGTTGGACTCGAAATATGGAAGACTCGAAGAAGGTGACATCGTCCAACATGAGGTATCGTTGTAGGGTATGTGAATAGCAACGACAACCTTTTTGGGATCAATGATAACCAAGAAAAACACACTTTAGCGACCGAGTTGATAGTTTATCAAGACCAGGAGAGAGATTGTTTACAAAACATGTAGACCCGAAGACTCGGGGAGGAATTGGGTGAAGGGGGGAATGGGAAAAAAGGATTAAATGAGGGATTTTGTTGTTAAGGACAGATGATGGCATGCGATTAATAAGGTAACATGTTGTTAGCACAGCATCTCCCCAAAACCGAAGTGGAACATTACCATGGACAAGTAGGGTTCGAGTGGTTTCTACAAGATGCCGATTTTTGCGTTCGGCTACTCTGTTTTGTTGAGGTATATGATGTTTGGTGGAGAATACCATTACTAGACATAAAAATTTGAAATTGTTGGGATAAATATTCACGAACATTATCACTTCTTAAGGTACGAATAGACACACCAAACTGAGTTTTTATTTCTTTATAAAAATTTTCAAAAATAGAAAATAATTCTGATATATTTTTCATTAAAAATAACCTCGTGCAACGTGAAAAATCATCAATAAAGGCGACAATACCTAGACTCAAGAGTAGAGATAGTACGTGAGGGACCCCAACATCGGAGTGAACTAAAGCAAAAGAGGACGAAGCTCGTTTATTGACTCGATTGGAAAATTGACTACGAGCGTGTTTTCCTAATTGACACAACTCACAATGTAAATTAGATACTTTCGATAAACTTGGCACCAACTTCTGTAATTTTGGAAGACTATGATGACCTAACTAAGCATGGATTGTGAGTGGAGAATCTTTGGTTGAGCATGTCTGAGATGACACTGAGAGGTACTAAAGGCCTTGAGACTACATCCGACATCAATTGTTCGTCCCGAACTCCGATCTTGTAGGGTGACAATACTATTAGTGAAGATGACAATACAATCAAGAGAACGAGTTAAACGACTGAGTGAAAGTAAATTAAAGGGACAATTAGGTACATAGAGAACAGAAGTGACAGAGAGAGAAGGTAGAATTTGAACAGTACCAATTCCCTCAGATTGGGTTTGAGAATCATTGGCAGAAGTTATAGTAGGTAAGAAACCAGAGGTAGAGAGAGAAGCGAAAAGATAGTAGGTAAGAAACCAGAGGTAGAGAGGGACCCAAGGTCCAAGAGAAGATGATTGAGAGAAGCAAACAGATGAATTACCAGTGTACAACCGAAGCAGTAGAATCAAGGATACAAAGTTTAGGATTATGCACCTTTGTGAGAGACACACCACTTGTCCATCTAAAACTTTAAGGTGATAGGTGAGTGGGTTCTCCCACTTATATTATTCTCAAGTCTCCACATTTTTATCCAATGTGGGACTATTTCCCCACTTACTCACACTTGCATTATTATTCTAGCACTCCCCCTCTCCCCCCTCAAGTGTGAGTCCACAATGATCCCTCTCAAGACACTTGTACCATCGTTGACACCTTGCAACGGGACACCTCTTCTTAGACATTTCGATACTAAGTCAGTCTCTTTCTCGAACCAAAGACTCTGATACCATTTGTTGGGAGAAGTTCACTAAGAGTATTGATACAAAGTTTAGGACTATACACCTTTGTGAGAGACATACCATTTGTCCACCTAAAACCTTAAGGTGATAGGTGAGTGGGTTGTCCCACTTATATATGCTCAAGTCTCCATATTTCTATCCAATGTGGAACTATTTCTCCACTAACTCACACTTACATTATTATTCTAACACATCTTTTCAATGTAAGAGTCACAAATTTCAACAGCATAAAAATTCTAATATCCGGGTTCTTGTTAAATTAGGATGCACCCTATACTGAAGAAAGGCTAAATATCTTAATTGTATTTCTTGTGAAGCACTGTCAGAATTTTGTGGATCTCATAGATTCAAGGAGAGAACAGAGAGACTCCATTTTTGTATCTTTTTGATATTCTGAATTATGATTCAATTACAAAGGAATGGATCTATTTATCGATCAGAGTTCTAACTAACTTTCCATTAGTTAGTTCCTAGAATTTAGGAATTAGTTAGACAGAGATAGTGGACGGTAAATGTATATTAGGAGCACAATAAGATCTTTAAACTAAAACTGGGAGAATTTCAACTAACTGAATGCTAGTTAAACCTCTTATTCTCTAACAAGCATGATAAAACAAAATAGGATGCTCTCATACAATTGACAACACAATAGTGAACATGTTGCTCGAATTAAAGCATAAAACAGGACCTGTACATGAGCAAATATATTAGAACTACAGGTATTTTCAAGAAAAACAAAAAAACAGTGACAGGCGTATAGAAATCACAAACACTTGCCTCGGCCGGAACCTTCTTCAAACATGAAGAAACAAATTCTTTCATGGGGCGAGAAAAATGCTCATCTAACTGCAAAAAAAAGAAGAGATTCAATGTCAACCATTTTATACTAGGAAAAAAAAATATCTATTTGGTTTGAGAAAAACATTGTTTCATTTCCTATTTTCACTAATAATAATAATTTTCATTTGTTATCATTTTGTATAGCTTTTTCAAATTATTATTGAAGAAATGATGAAAACAACAAATCACACTATGATTGTTCTTAGACAAAGTTTTCAAAGTTGAGATAAATACAGTAACATTTTCAAACATCTCAACTTTGAAAACTTTGTTGATTTTAAATAGTTCAAAACTAGAAATATTGATTTGTCTAAGATTGAAGAACACAACCTGCGGAGGGTTTTCTCGGGGTATGATGAAAAGCACCCTCATGGGATGAAGATCAGCAAGTGGAGGCTCCCCCTTTGCCATCTCAATTGCAGTGATCCCCAGTGACCAGATATCTGCCTGCATAGACAGAATTACAGAGATGATTCTAAGGGTCAAAAATAAAATTAGGGAACATCACAGAAAATAAAAATGGAAGCAAAGAATCAAAGAATAACATAACAAATGAATAGTTGAACACTATGTTACAACCTTCTCATTATATCCATCTGTGTTCTGAATAACCTCAGGCGCCATCCAGAATGGTGTTCCTACAAATGTCTGTTGTGATCAAATATATTAGAATATCCAGCCAAAGATGAAAAGTAATGAATTAAATTTCCACCTATTTTTGTTGTAAGAAGCATTAGATACAGTGACTCTGGTAATGACCAAAAAAAAGCATAAATATATTAATAAAACCAGCAATTTGACATTCAGTTTTCTGAACTCATCCAACCAAGACAGGAAATGCTTAACACCACATTTCTTTCACTTGGTGAGTCTATACATTGAATTGATTATCCAATTGAAAAAGGCGTGATTTTGTGCTCTTGAGAGGCACAAAGTATTATATCAATAACCCATCCATGTTAAATCGATAAATGATTTAACCTTGATGAAATATGTTTACCTTTCTCCTTGATATAGTCCTTGTCAACTGTGCAGAAACACCAAAATCTGCAACCTGGTAACATTTTACATAAAATTCACATGCATAGATCATGAAAAAAACACTAATAGGAATTTATAAGCTCTTCAAGAATAAAGCATACCTTTACATCACCATTCTCAGACAATAAAATGTTTGCAGCTGCATAATAGATATGTGAATGCTGTCAATTACAAAGTTAATGTAAAAATGTAAAAAGAAAATTTCCATGACTACAGAACTACATGTTAAATATCCAGAGGTTATTTTGTAGTATCATGTAAATATCTTCAGATAGTTTAGAATATTTTAAATCATCTATTGGTAACAGTTTCTTATAGGAATCCGAATCAAGATGAACAAAGAAATTGTATTATTAATTGAGAGTAAAGAAAATATATCACAAGAGGATCTCTCTTGTAACCCCAGAGCAAAGCTCCTCAGAGGAATTTGGTATATCCCCTCTGCCAAAGCCTAAGCCAAAACTAACAAACAGACTACTCTCTCATCTCCCATCTCACACACCTCATATACCCTCCCTATATTCCTCGTGTGCTTCCTCTCTCCTTTCTCTTTCTGGGTCCTATCAGTTTCAATTAGTTATCCTTTATCTTTCAGAATTTGTATTTTTATTTAATTAGGATCAATAGTCTTTGTTTAGTATATACAAACTGTTGTTTCTAGAATTTGGGTTTCAACCGAACTTAACCCACAAAATCGGCTTCTAAAGTGAGGATTACCCAAACCTTATAAAGTTATAAGCGCTACTTAGGTCATATATCGAAATAGGACTCTCAACACATACCTTGGACTAATAGAGGTGGAATAACCTGATCATGACCCATTCTCACGCTAATGACATTTGGAGCATGGACAAGTAGAATAAAATAGATCTTGGCCCACTAACAGCTCTAGATAGGCTTAGATGCAATTTTAGAAATTTGATGATAGGTCTAACTCTCAACCACGCAAAATTAGCTCGGAAAGTGAGTGTGGCCTAAGCTTTAAGAACTACATATACCTTTGAATAGTTTATAGTAGCAAGTAACTTAGTAGGACTCCTACGAATAGTTTCGATATTTCTTTTTATAATTTAGGGATTATCATTAGTAGTCTTTTAGTAGGGCAAATAGAACTCAGTTCTTTGACTTTTGAATCTTATCATTCACACAAATATCAAGATAATTTTAGTGTGCTTGAAAACTATTAAATTACAGTGAAAATGCACATCTATTTGAGTTTACAATCCATAGCTTCGATAATATCGCGTCCATATAACTTTGGATGGTGAGGAAACATTGCACAACTCAGATCCAAACATGCTATTATGATTGTAGAGTATTCCTTTCCCCGTCCCACCTAAACCCTATAATTTTGTCACTGAATATGGAAGAAAGAAAAGAAAATTTAAAAGTACAGCAAAACCAATGTGAAGGATTGCTGTTGATACCTTTAATGTCTCTATGGATTTTTCCTTCACTATGTAGGTAATCGACAGCATGCAACAAGTCACGAAGAATGTAAGCAATTGACGTTTCATCTAAGGGAGGACCTGATTGGAGCTACAGAAGTGAAACCAGTATTAACTCCAAATAATAGCAAACAAACACCATACTGAAAATTGATGTTAACATGTGTAGAAAAATATTAATAGAGGCACGCAAAAAAAGACCATTAAAATCGGGTAAGGATTCTCTCCAATTCTAATCAGAAGACAAAAGAGAAAAAGAAATAAATGTTGTCCTATTAAAAATAGGTTATCATCATGCACACACATATGTACTGTAAAGGAAAGAGAGAGAGAGAGAGAAAAGGTAAGAATGAATGAAGTATTAAAATATTTCAGTTGCAATATTTATAATGACATTCAAGCCTAGTGTTTTGGCTTCTTGGTTTTCTTCAAAAAAAAACTGTAATCTTAGAATATGAGGGTTGGACCTAAGTCATCTCTACAAAACCGGCTTGTAAGGCGAGGGCTGCCAAACTTTATAAACATTATAAAAGTCATATCTCTAAGCAATATGAAACTAAATCCACATTTTCAAACCCAACACAATGAAGGTGTTGGAGGTCAAAATGAAGGCAATCCAAATGCCGGAATTTAAGGGACTAGGGCGGACCGCAATGAAGGCGGAAATTCCAACCCCCTCTCACGCTCGGGCCTCAATGAGGTCAAAGCGTGAAGTCCAATAAAGTGATCTAGAATAGGCTTTGATATCATCTTAAAAATGTGTGGGTTGGGCCTAACTCATCCCTACAATACCGGCTTGTAAAGTGAGGGTTGCCCAAGCTTTATAAACATTACACAGGCCATATCTCTAAACAATGTGGAACCAAATCCACCCCTTCAAACCCAACACAATGAAGGCACAATAAAGGCGTTGAAAGCTGCAATAAAGGCAAGCCAAATGCCGCATTTTAGGCAACTAGAATCGGACCGCAATGAAGGCGGAAATTCCAAAATTTAATAAGGGAAATACAAAGGGCAAGAAATCTTCCCAAAACAGACAACAATACAAACATAACAAAGAGACTGACGGTAAAAGACAAAATTCCAAAATGCACAAGTCATAGAAACTAAGTCAACTACCATGTATATAATTTCTATTGCCATAAGGTTATACTTAAAACATATATTGCGCCTATTAAATAACATAAAATGATTTCCATATATTCCCTGATGAGGCTGTGTCAATTTATATACGAGAGGATCTTTCAAGAAAAAATAGAAAATAAGGAAATTATATCAATCTTAATAAATAGAGAATATTCAGCTATATCAATCTTAATAAATAGAGAATATTCAGCTAATAAATAGTGAATATTCAACACTCCCTCTCAAACTGGAGCATATATATCATAAGCATCCAGCTTGTTGCATATATAATCAATGTGAGGTCCCCGTAGAGATTTAGTGAAAATATCAGTTAATTGATCATTTGAGCTCAACGAAGAGGTTTTAATGATGCTAGAAAGGATCTTTTCACTGATAAAGTAGCAATCAACTTATGTGTTTAGTCCTCTCATGAAAAATCAGATTCCAAGAAAGATACAAAGCCGACTAATTATCACACAAAAGTTCCATTGGACCTAGTTCACAAAATTTCAACTCATGTAACAAGTGTTTCAACCATAAGAGATCACAAGTAGGATGGGCCACATTGTGGTACTCTGCCTCTATACTTGATCTTTCAACAACAATTTGCTTTTTACTTTTCCATGAAATTAAATTTCCTTCAATCAAAATACAATAACCAGAAATAGACCTTCTATTATTCACATTACCTGCCCAATTTGCATCTAAATATCTTACAATACTGATATGACCTCTGTCTGAATAAACAGGTCCTTTTTCAAGTGACCCGTTAATAAACCTCAAGATCCGAACTACAGCACTCCAATGGTTCACGAGGTGAATTTAGAAATTGACTCACGACACTAACAGCAAATGAAATATTTGGTCTTGTCATTGTGAGATGATTTAATTTTCCAACTAACCTTCTGTATCTGTTTGGGTCAGGATATGGCTCCTCGAGTATGTAGAAGCTTCACATTAGGTTCCATAGGTATATCAACTAATTTACAATCAAACATCCTTGTCTCTTCCAAGATATTGAGAACATATTTTCTCAGAGACATAGAAAGTACTTCAATCCCAAGAAAATTATGTAATCGACCTAAATCTTTAGTAATAAAGTGATTGAACAAGTGTTGCTTGGTCTTTAATGCCTTCTTGATCATCATCAGTAATAACAATATCATCTACATATACCACAAGATAAATGAATTTGTTTAAAGATGGACGTTTAAAAAAAAAGAAAATGGCCTCCTTCACAACGAATCATGCGAAACTGTTGAATAACCTTGCTGAAATTTCCAAACCAAGCTCGACGTGACTGCTTTGGACTATATAATGATTTTTGTAACTTGCAAACAAGACCAGATCCCCCGAGCAACAAAGCCGAGTGGTTGCTCCATATAAATCTCCTCTTCTAAGTTTCTATGCAAGAAGAAATTTTTAATATCAAGTTGATACAAAGGCCAATGTTTCATTGCAACCATTGACAAGAAAAGACGAACTGATGTTATCTTTGTAACCGGAGAGAAGGTATCAATATGGTCAAGACCATAAACTTGAGTGTATCCTTTTGCTACGAATCGAGCCTTCAAAGGATCCACCTGTCCATCAGTGCCTACTTTAATACAAAGACCCACTGACAACCAAGTGTACATTTTTCAGGGAAAGTGGCACAGCGGAAGCGTGGTGGGTCCATAACCCACATGTCCCTGAATCGAATCAGGCGTTGTCATCACTAGTAACTTGAGTAAGAATATGTAGAAAGAATCAGGGTGAACGTTGTTATGTTTATTCCTTAACCAAAGGTTGGTTTAAATAGAGAGAAGACAGTTAATATTCATTCTTGAATCGGGGAGAAGCTTTAGGGAATAGAAACAAAATAAAAATAAAATCTTCACTAATATAAGGAGAGAGAGAATTACGAGATTTTCTCTCAAGTTGATGCATAAATCTCTATCATGTCCAACTAACATGTTTTTTAAATGCTCAAGGACAGGTTATGTCAAGCTTTTGGTTAAAGATATTAGCAATTTGTTGACTAGAGGATACAAACGCTGGACATATTACAACCTCTAGTTTCTCTTTCATGAAATAAAAGTCTTTCAATATAATTGGTTTTATTATGTTGAACGTTGTTATGTTTATTCCTTAACCAAAGGTTGGTTTAAATAGAGAGGAGACAGTTAATATTCATTCTTGAATCGGGGAGAAGCTTTAGGGAATAGAAACAAAATAAAAATAAAATCTTCACTAATATAAGGAGAGAGAGAATTACGAGATTTTCTCTCAAGTTGATGCATAAATCTCTATCATGTCCAACTAACATGTTTTTTAAATGCTCAAGGACAGGTTATGTCAAGCTTTTGGTTAAAGATATTAGCAATTTGTTGACTAGAGGATACAAAAGCTTGACATATTCCAACCTCTAGTTTCTCTTTTATGAAATAAAAGTCTTTCAATATAATTGGTTTTATTATGTTGAACAAGTTGTGGGCCATGTTATGGCAGTTTTACTGTAAGAATATAACTACAACGGAAGCTCAATTTTCATCTTTTGTTTCTCCTGAACTCTTTGAATCCATACTCCGGCCCGAATACCCAGAGCTATAGCCTTAAACTCAGCTTCTACACTATTTCTTGATACAACCCTTGTTTTTTTGCTTCTCCGTGTAACAAGCTTACCTCAGACATAGATACAATATCCAGAGGTTGATCTTTTGTCTGACAAAATCTGTCCAGTTTGCATTAGTGATGATAGACACATTTTTTTCACTAGTATTCTTTAAAATGCCCCAAGATGTTTCTCATAATTCATTAGTATTCTATAAACTGCCTCAAGATGTTTCTCATAATGTGAATGCATAAACCGACTCACTATACTGACTGAGAACTGAATGCCAGGTCTAATGTGGGACAAATTAGCTTACCAACCATTCTCTGGTATCTTCCGATGTTAAAACAAACACTTTCTTCTTCCCATGCATTAGGATCTATGGGAGTGCCAAATGATCGACAACCACTCATTCATGTTTCTCTCAATAGATTAAGAATGTATTTCTGTTATGAAACCATAGTTCCTTTCTTCAAACAGCGACATTCATACGAAGAAAGTACTTTAAGGATCTTATCCTTGAAAATACGCAACAAGCCTCTATTTTACTCTTCCCATTCAATTATATCAAGTCTAGTGAGGACTACATCATCTGCATAAACAATCAGGGCAACGAATTTCCCGCCAAGGGAGAATTTTGTGAATTAAGTGTGGTCAGCTTGTCCTTGAATGTGCCATTGGTTCTTCATAGAATGAGTGAACCTTTGCAAACCAAGCTCTCAAAGATTTTTTAAGCCATAAAAAATACTTTTTCAACTTAGATGCCTTCGATTTGAATTTGTCTTCAAAGGAGGGAGGATCATCTATGTATACTTCTACTAGATTAGCAAGAGAAGATAAAAGTATTTTGACAGTGTTCAGTGTTCAGTTGCTCGCTTTGGGTTAGATGTCTCTGCGGTGGCAGTTATAGACGTTGTTTTGGTGTTGAGTGCCTTGTACTTGGAGTCCCAAGTAACAGTGCGGTTAGAAGGATAACCTTTAGTGAAAGTGTTTTGGTGTTGAGTGCCTTGTACTTGGAGTCCCAAGTAACAGTGCGGTTAGAAGGATAACCTTTAGTGAAAGTCTTACGCTTTGGGTTAGATGTCTCTGCGGTGGCAGTTATAGACGTTGTTTTGGTGTTGAGTGCCTTGTTGTTGGAGTCCCATGTAACAGTGCGGTAAGAAGGATAACCTTTAGTGAAAGTCTTACGCTTTGGGTTAGATGTCTCTGGGTGGCAGTTATAGACGTTGTTTTGGTGTTGAGTGCCTTGTTGTTGGAGTCCCAAGTAACAGTGCGGTTAGAAGGATAACCTTTAGTGAAAGTCTTAGAGTGGATGTTAGAGGAAGTTTGTCAAGAATGTCATTCTTTTCATCAATTTTGTGGGTGAAATTCATCATCTCGGCCAAGGTTGTAAATGAGTATAATTTCAATTCTGCTTTCACCCCATTTATTAACCCATTGAGAAAAATCCCCTTAAAGATAATCTGGTTCTCCACTTCTAAGTGGGTCAGCATACAATTCAAACATGTCATGATACTCTTCCACCGAGCCCATTTACTTAAGGCTGAGGAGCAGTTCATAGGGACTTTGAAGCATAAACGGTTGAAAGCGTTTAATCAAACCAGCCTCGAAATCATCCCAAGATGGTGAGGGGGAACAAAATCCGCACCATTGATACCACCATGTGAGTGCTTTACCTTCCATGGCTATCATGGATCTTTTCCTCATTAGTTGCACCCCTTAAATCAAAGTAGCGTTTGACACGATCGATCCACCAAAAAGCGTCTTCGCCCTCGAAGATGGGAATTGTAAGTTTCCTCCAATTTTCATCATGGTTGCGGAGATTTTGTCCAAATACAGGGGTACCGTCAAAGTAGTCAATAGCGGCGCTATCCCACTATAGCGGAGAAGAGCGAAGGTCGACCGCTATTGGAAGAGTCTTAGAGGTGCATAACACTATAACAGCCGCTATATGATAAATAGCAGGTAGTGGAGCAGGTAGCGGGGGCGGAGTGGTTCCTGTCATGAAGCGGTTTCTGCCCCGATATCCTTTTCCCATATGAAAAAACTGAAATCACCCCTTAAATTTAAAAGTTTTAAGGATAATTTTGGATTTTTCAATCAAAATTGAGTCGAGACTCAACCCTATTATTTGCCTTCTTTGTTTTTATTTTAATCACATAGAAGAAAATAAAGAGTTTGAAGAAGATATGTTGAAGAAGACTTATTTGACGATGATTTTTTGCTTTAAAGACTTCAATTATGATGATATTTGATTTCTATGATAGTTTGAATTTTAATATTCAGTACTTAAGTTTGAATTTTGAGATCTGATATTTTGATTGAGACTTGTTGATGTTGATTATGAGTTTCAATTACTACTTGTAGGTTTTTGAGTGTTTTTTTATCAAGTCTTGTGCTTTGATTTGTAAGTATTTTAGGGGTTTTTGAGATATTTGTTTAATTTTACATTAAAGATATGTTTATAACTATTACTCAGGTAATTTGTCTAAAAATTATCAAATAGCAGTCATCCCGCTAAACACTGTCCCGCTATTCCATTTTTGGGGTCGGCCACTCCGCTCCACAATCCAGAATTGACTACTTTGGGTAACATAGCCTATGTTGTCATTTTGGGTAGTGAGACCGCGGACAGTTTCGAGCAGTTGGTCAATTTGGCGCTGTGATTCATATTTTTCACTTTCCATCAGATTGCGCATCTCATGAATTTCTTCTTTGATTGCGACAAAACCTTCGTATGCCCTTTCTAAAAATTCCAATCTTGCTTCCATTTTGCGACGTCACAACGACCGTAAACTAGTGCCAGGGAACGTTGTCTTTGATACCAGTGATAGATTAGTGATAGATTCTGAATAGTAATGATAGATAAGAGGAGAATAATACACATGAATACAATACTTTATTGCAATTATACTAGTAATAACTTCCTGCAGTAGCAGTTAGTTACAAACTGCAACAGCAATTACAGACTACACGATCACTAGGATTAGAGAGTCTAGTCCCTCCCAAACCAAACCCGGCCAATAAAAAAATGAATGAGAGACTTTCTCATTCTTTATTCTACTTGAATACATAAAATGTAATTATATAATTTGGGCCTACTTTACTGGGCCTTGGGCGTATGCCTATCATATACACTAGTAAGTGGATTTCTTTTTCCACCCTATGCTTTTCTAGCGCACTACGCGAAATACCAAAAGCACCCCTAAAAACCGAAAATATATTTCCGGTGCGCACCCACACACACATAATTCATTTGTTTTTGAGATTCTCCCTATTTTACGACAAAATTTACTCCGGAAATACATTTCCGGAAATGCACTTCCGGTTATGTGACTGACAACATGTTGGCGTAAGAATCTGGAATGCTACTTCCTCCAAAGTTATTATTATCAAGTTGTCTGCAAGAAAAAGAAAGTCCAAAACAACACTTTGAAAATCTAATTGTAAGTCAATTTTGAAATACTATTGTCTTTGTGATTAATTTTTCATAGTATATAACAATGAAATTATACAATATAGAGATTGTTGGTCTGAAACGACAAAGGGGCAAAAAAAACTTATTCACACTTTGTACTTTATCTTCACATAACTGGAAGTGTATTTCCGGGAATTACCGGAAGTGGATCTCCGGAATAAATTTTATCGTAAAATAGAGCGAATCTCAAAAACGAATGAATTATGTGTGTGTGGGTGCGCACCGGAAATATATTCCGGTTTCAAAGGGTATTTTAGGAAATACATAGGGTATTTCTTTACACTATAGGGTGGAAAAAGAAATTCCCCACTAGTAATTGGAGGTCTACTATCAAACATCAACTTCAAATTTTATGCACTGAACATATAGAAGAAATAAAGAGAAGTAACCTACTAGATCAGCAACAGAGCCGCCAGCCATATACTCCATTATTATCCATAGTTTAGTTTGGTTGAGAAAAGAACCATAATACTCGGTAATGTATGGACAACGACATTGTGACAGAACAGAAACTTCCTGAAACATTAAAACAGATATCAAAATTTAATCATTTAGGTACATCAAATATGAAACCAGAAGTGATGCCATACAATTATTATACCTTCTGAATGTCGTCAATGTCATCCTCTCTGTAAAGGGACAGAATGAAATGAAATACAAGTTAGGAAGAAGTTAGCAAGAAATGACAAGGATTCTGAGTGCAACACAGCACAACTACAGGGATACTATTAGCTACAAAATTATACACGCAGAATCTCAAACTTAGAAACTCGTTACATAATGAGGCTCGCGAGCTTTGCTGTATTCAAAACTTCATAACTTAACATGAAATGCACATAGTATACTGAGATAAAAAGACTTCCATGTTCCATCAATATGTTCAGCGTTTCATAGACAGTAAATTCAATGGATGCAGAAGATTCAGAAAATTGCTACTACATCACAGCACCTATTGTAGGGATGACAATAACTCATATGCAGATATTGGAGCCATGTAGATATTGAGCCTGCACGTATTAGATACTTTTCATCTACAGCAGAACTCTTAAGTCAAACTCTAACTCCATGCATAAGAAATTAAGTCCTACAAAGAACAGGTGGTAATATTCCTTCTAACTTATCTTGGTGACAAAGATTACCACATGCTAAGGCACAAAAGTTTCACAGCCAAACTTTTTCCTACCGACCTGGAGTTATGTTCCTTAATGGAGTCAACACTTCTTAACCGAACCCCAACCTAGAAGACGAGGATGAGACTACATAGAATATGGGAAAGTCTTAGGTAAAAGAACCTTTAAATAGTGCTATCTGATTTTCAACTAAATGTGGAAGGGAGAATGATGCAGAACAGCGCTCCTTTTTGAAAGAGGAAAAAAAAAGCACAACTCCCTCATTAATTAAAAAATAATAATAATAACAACTCTTGTAGATTTTTTATTTTTTATTTTTTATTTATTTTTTAGGGGTGTTGAATCATGAATGCCCTTCAGTAAAGCATGTAAACTGGATCCTATCAACAAGGACCCGTTATCATATCGCTGGAACACAATGATTAGAAATTTTACAGCTTTTAGCACCACTGCACAAGTGTATAACCAGATATAAGATGGGAGAAAATTATTTTATCAAATACTCATAACTTCTGCCTATGGATGGGCCTAACAAAGACCAACATGACTACAGGACTTCATCCTCCGCGTACAAAGGGCCCAACAAGGTTAAATAAAACAGAGAAATCATGTTAAATTTTCAGTGTTAAATGACACAAAATCCTGCTAGACACGTAATCATTTATAACATAATGGAAGATGCTTTGCAATATATTTCAAGATTCTCATTATTTTAAAACTGATTGGTGTCCCTAATGTGGCCAATATTTCAGTGCCTTGAATTGGAATGTTCTTGAAAATAGTAGATGGGAGGAAAAAACTTACGATTCTTCCAAATCAATCACTTTGATGGCAACTTCTTTGTTGAGCTCCCTGTCAAACCTGAAAATAAGATGGTATAACAAAGTGACAAACAGCTCATTGTCATGTCCAACTTAAGGTAAATAAAGAAGTTTGGAGAGAAAATATTATTTCCGTGTTTGTTATTACTTTTTTAAGTTCCTCCGATGTATTCTTTTATTACTATTTTCTTCTTGGAAGAGTTCTAGAAACAATATCCTCAAATTTGCTAAAAAGAATATTATTTTCCGTCATCCTTACAAGAAAAATTATGTTCTCAGATATGAAAATTAAACAGAACTTGAATAACTGCACTCTGCACATTATGTTTTAATTTGCAAAATGTAAGAGTCTGAGATTACTTCCTTACTTAGGATAACATAGTCAATTTAGTTCTATATACATTAAGTTTTATTAGTATACAAGCTCTCATAATTTGTTTCCATAGTTTCCTTATTTTGTAGTTCCAATACTACAGTATAACTAATTGTGCCTAGCCAACGGATTTCTCAAGCAATTCAGTAAATTATTTCAGACACATCACGGTGATAAAACCCAAAGACATGTTTCTAACCTCTAACACGTGAACCTTTCTATCCCAACAACCACTGTCGTCGAGGCGAGGATGTCCACCACCCAGCAACCTCAGAATGTCAACCGCCAACACATCTAAAGTCAAAGAATGCCAATAAGATCCTGGAACCACAAGTAATCTCATTGCACCGTGTACCAGTTTCCAGATCACTGGGCTGCAAGTTCTGTTTGAGGTTCCTGAGCCTCCTCATCATCTTTTGGCGGTCATTCAATCAGTTTCGTTCTACATTAGTAGAGGGTCTTTGATCCCCAAGGTTTCTATTCTCTTCTATAATGTGTATAAATTGGGTTCAAATTGACTTCAACCAAAGATAGTGAATGTGATTCAGAGTGTGAGTAACCCTCTCCTCGAGTAACAAGCTCTTCTGAAAATGTTCCTGTTAACACTGCCATCTCAGACACCTTGTAATGAGCAGTGCTATAGAGTCTCCTTGTCTTCCTCGTCAGTAGAAGCGCTTTGGTCATCCCAGTCTATCGAAGCATCAATAGATGCTTATGACTTACATGTCTCAAAGTAGAGTCTTTGAGTTGAGTCATGTCAACTAGGGGAACATGTTCATACTTCCTTTTCTAGTCAGGCTCAAAGCCAGACAGTGTCTCCTGTTGTTGTTTTTCAATATAATATATGGGTCGAGGTTGTGTATCTACTCTATTAGGTCTCATGTATCCTATTACTTTTATTGATGACTTTTTTGAATGTACTTGGTCATTCTTAATGAAAAATGTGCTATGAATTATTTTCTATATTCAAATCTTTGTAGACTAAAATTAAAATCAATTAAGATTTTGAGTGACAACGCAGATGAGTTTTTGTCATTTATGTCCTCTCATGACATCTTACATCAATCCACACATAAACCTTGACAAAATGAAGTAGCTGAAAGGAAAAATCATCATCTTAATTGAGTCTGCAATGAATTGTTGTTGCATAAAAATATGCCTTAGTGTTTAGGGCAGTGTCGTCCATAGCGGATGGCGGTCCATGGCAGGGAGCCAAAATCCCGCCATACCGGCCGCTTTGCGGTGTCGCTATAGCGGATTATGGCGGAAAAACCCGGAATAGCGGCCGATATTTACCATTGCAGCAAGCCCAAAAACCTCCATGTATATCTGCCATAGCGGTCATGGCAGCGCTATTTGATAACACTGGTCCAGGGGGATGTTGTGTCTTTGTTGGTAGTTAGTTATATGGAACAATGAAAGAAAAATGTGATTGCTCGATCTAATGTTGAGTCTGAAAGTCTGAATATTGAGTAATCGCAATGGTAATTTGTGAGCTTACTCGGGTAAAATAGTTATTTTATAAGTTGAGGTTTGGCAATATTGATCAAATGAAAATGGGTTTGTAATAATCGAGCTACTGTCCACATTGCATTAAACCCAACCTTTCATAAAAGAACCAAGCATATAGCAATTAACAGTCACCTTTTTTTAAGGAAAACGTCCCCTCTAAGGAAATTGATATTGAGTTTATCAACTCTAATGATCAGCTTCAAGATATTCTCACAAAGTCTCTTCCAGGTATTTATAACAAGTTTGATGGATGTGATTTGTATGCACACACATTCGTATAGACGCACAGACACACATAATTGATTGCGTTGAGGGATTTCTCAACCTATTTAGCTATCTCAAGGATATGAACTTAAATTGATCATGACATAAGAATCCTAGTTTCAACAATTACTTTGTTGTGTTCATAATAAATTGGTCTATTAATCAAAATTATTATTAACTAAAATATGAACACCAGCAGAATCCACAGCAAAGAAAGCCTTACATCAAGGACTACTAGCACTAACTAACCAATTGTATAAGCGATGTACATCTATAACTACTCCTTATATTTACCATCAGCACTCAAAGGTAGTTTGATCTTGCAGGGTAAATTATGAAACCGGTTCTAAATAAAACTAAACACTTACCCTTTATATACATCGCCAAATGATCCCTGCCCAATAAGCTCTAATGAAGTGAATCTTGATCCTGTTGCCTCGACTAGACCTGCAAGATCCTCCATTCTCGATTCTCAACAGCAACTCGTTACCACGTCATTCATCTGAAACACCAAACAAATTTGCATCCAAAATATATAAATTTCAAAAACAAAACTTGAAGCAACACAACAAAAACAAACAAAAAAAATGAACTTTTTGCACAATTGCACAACTCCAATTCAAAAGAACCTCAATTTCTGAAGGAACTAAATGAAATAATCAAAAACCATCACAGAAAATGAACACAGAAAGAATGAAGTAAAACTTTATACTCAAAACAAAGCATAACAGCTAGGTGAAGTTGCAAAATTAATTGTTAGGTGGAAAACGATGGGGACAAAAAATCGACTACCCAACAAAAAGAAACAGTGCGATGACAGAGAAATTTCGAAAACGAAAGCGAAACAACACCACCCAAATCGAGTTCCGAAATGGGGTGCGAGAGATTTGACAGAACCGTGAAAATTGTGGCATTTGAAAATCTTAAACCACAAGATTGGGGCAATCGAAATTGAAACTCACCAATAGTTTGGGTTGGTGGTGGTTTAAGCGACGGATCTGTTGGTTGATTTCAGAGAAGAGTGTGAGCAGTTGGGGCTTCTTCCTCGTAGCGTTTTCGGAACTTCAACGATCCAAGAACAATAACTGTGTTGTCTTTTTGTTTTATTTTTGTAGGATAAAAACAATTTGTGTATTTTTAATGTCTTTTTTTATTGGAGTGCTTTTAATGTTTTTTGTGTTTTTTTATGGAAATGAACATACAAATAAGTAGATTTTCATATATTTTAGAAACTTGGGGTTTTTTATTGGACCTCAGGATCCGAGATCTGGACTGATAGATCTGGATCATTAATCCGATCAAAAATATAGATGAATTGGTCATGGATAAAAAAGTTATTTGTTATCTGAACGAAGATATGGACCATTATTCAATGAGTATATGAAACCCATGATATAAATTTTGTTCATATCATTTTATCATTTTTCCCCTCCTTCAATTTACGCTTCTCATTTCTCTCTCAGTCCCTCCTCCGACGACCTCTTCTTCCCCTATCTTTGTCTCTTGATGACGCTCAACCTAAATACTCTAGTGTAGTGTATGTGTACTTCTTCTTTTGTTTCAGAGGCTTCCATAAACTTGTCATGTATTCAAATTTTTATACTTTTTATTTTTTTTATAATATTCTTTATCTTTACCTAGTATGCATATTTGTTTTGAATAGTTTGATGAATCGTCTAATACTAATACCATGTTTCAGTGTTGAACAAAATATTTTTGACCTTAATTATTTTAAAGTTTTAGCTAGGGTTTGTGTTTTAAATCAAACATTTTTGTTTTAACGTTGACCTAATATATTTGCATGTTATAATTTTGATCTGAGATTTGTATTTTACCATTTGATTAATAACAATAAAGGATAAGGTTATGGTTTTGAATAATTGCTTGTCTTCTTCTGTTCTTAATAAATTTTGAGGGCATGTATTGCTGAGTTTTGTTTTAATTTCATAAAAAATTATTATTTGATTGATTGTGCTTTGTTCCATGTCTTTTCAAGATTCGTCATTGACTCCTCCAACCATGGGTGATCTACTTGATATTAATATGTTACTTGTTGATATTGGAAAAGAGGAGACAACAGATGAAGGTTGTTTATAGATTGGTGAAATGATTGATTTGGAGCTTCCAATTCAAAATACCTCCACTGATAATACTGCCACTCAAAATACCCCCACTAATAATACTACCACTGAAAATACCCTCACTTAAAATACTACCAATATTGATGGGTCAACCCCTCCAATTGACCAAGATCAGAGTTCTCAGATAAATGCTTTTGGTAAAGCTCCTCGTCCCAAAAAATTTGTTGTTCATACTGAAATGGTGCTTATTGAAGAACTTGATGGTAAGAAGTGGAAATGCAGATGATGTGGTAAGCTTTACACATATGATACAAAGTGGAAAAGTACATCTAATGGTAAGAAACATTTAGTTGTTTGTATTAAGAGAAAGTTAAGGTTGAAAGGTAATAATGACAAAGAGTTTGCACAATCTAGGTTAAACATAGGTGATAGTACTCCAAGTTTGGCAACCTAGACATATAATTATGTTAGGGTTAGAGAACTTGCAGCACATATGATTCTAGGTCATGAATTTCCTTTTTCTGTTATGGAAGGTGTTATTTTTAATGAGTTTCTAGGGAGATTTATCCATGGTACAAAAAGATTACTAGGCAACAGGTTAAGTTTGACTGTGAGACATTTTATGAGGCTGAAAGAGTTAAGATGAAAAGGTTTATGGCTTTGATTAACATGGTCGGTTTTACCATTGACTTGTGGTGGTCTGGTGAACAGAGGATGTGTTATATGATTGTGATTGGTCATTTCATTTATTCAAAATGGTAGCTTCATAAAAGAGTTTTAACTTTTTGGAATGTGCCACTACCATATTATGGGGAGGTTTTGTGTAGGGAGTTGATTAAGGTGATGGATGATTGGGGAATAAAGGATAATGTAGCTTCAATTTCTATAGATAATGCTAGTGCCAATTATAATTGCATTACTAGATTGAAGAGGGATTATTCTGGTAGGAGAAATTTACTCTTAGATGATAAATTGTTTCATGTAAGGTGTTGTGCAGACATCTTAAATTTGTCGGTGCATGGTGATCTTGATATGATTAAGGTGGTTGTTGATAAGATAAAAATGGTGTCAAATTCTTGCTGAATTCTGAAACTAGATGTAAAATATTCAAAAAGTTTGTTGATGAGTTGCGACTTGAAGGCAGAATACAAGCGTTGGATATCAAGACAAGGTGGAACTCAACTTGGTTAATATTGTCAACTGCATACCACTACAGAGAAGTGTGGCCTAGATATGCTGAGGAAAATGGTGCATTTCTCAATTTTTTTCCTAAGGCAAATGATTGGGAAGATGTGCATGATATTTGCAAATTTTTAGAAGTTTTTTCTGATGTGATATCAATTACAAGCGGCACCTCTTACCCTACTGCTAATCTGTTTTTGGTTGAGCTTTACAGGGTGAAGGTTCTACTTGATAAACCTTCAAGTATCTCAAATAATCCTCAGTTGAAGGCGCTTTCTAATGAAATGAAGTTGAAATATGACAAGTATTGATTAGAGTTCAATATGTTGATTTCTATTGGTGCAATCCTTGATCCAAGGTGTGAACATGTTAACCAATGATGAATTATGTATGATATGCTTCATTATAATCTGAGGCCTTTGATGAAATATGTTTGATCTGCTTCGTTATTATTTGATGCCTATGATGAAATCTATTTGACCTGCTTGATTATTAACTGATGTTGTTGTACCCCAAAATTTACCCTCTTGATTTCAAAAAATTTATTTGGCTTATATTTCATCTGCATACGCATACATACATTGGTTTTGTTGCTATAGGATCAAGGTATGCCAATAAAGCATCGACTATTTATCAGAAGCGTCAAAGGCTTTGTGCAGGAAATTCAATCAGTTGAGGAACGGGTTATCACCATGTTCTATTCCCGTGTATTTTCTCATGTCTTGGGCAATATAAGGGAACCCGAGGTTTTGATCTGATTCAGAACGGTTAGGGTGAAAAATTTGTTTCGGTGTGTCAACTTCATAATTTTCTAACTGTGAGCCAAAGTATTGTTTTGGGCTTAAATTTAATCACCAAGTCCGTGTTGATATTATCTTCACTTTTCATATTCGGTTCGAGATCCAATTATATGCAGATGGCGGTCAAATAATTTTATTACTGAGTTTTCAGGTTATCGATCAACAGTATTTCGGGCGTTCAGAAATCTCTAACTCCGATTTGATATACTGTCTTTAGGTGGTTCTGATTCTTTCGCCATTAAATTCGTCTCAATGTCCTCTCCAACTTTCATGTTCGGGCCAAAAGTTAATTCTCGAAGGAAGGTCTCCTAATTCACAAATCAGACAAAGCTGAATAGTGGAAAATACTGATAAACAGTTGGTTGAACCGTGTTTTGCCCACATTGAAAAATTCATATCCTCTGGCTCGAGTACTCTATGAGCGTGGTTTCGATGCCCAAAATTCCGTCTTGATATCCTCTTGATGGACGTCCAGGGGCGAGAGCTGATGATTTGAGGAGGGCTGCGTAAATTGTGAATTACTGAGAAATTATTTGGTACATGTCTGTTCGGCTTCCAATATTCAAAAATTCATAACTCGGTCAATTTTTACAAAATCACACTCGTTCTCGAATCGTTAGGTTGCTAATTTTGTTTGCTTCAATTCTGTTTGATATTGTCAAGACGAACGGTAGCCCAAAGACCTCTGTTGTTGGTTTATTTTGCAAAACGAAGTTGTTCGTACCGGTAAAAAGACTGGATGTCACTCCGATGGAAAATTCATAATAAATTCATCGTTTATCAGATGGTTCTCATTTTTTGACGCGATGTCGGAGATGTAGAGATCTATATTTCTTCTGGAAAAGTCGAGATGAGATTCTAGTTTTTTGGGCACGAGCTTGTGGTTTGTTCGAGTGACGAAGGTTAAATAAGCTAATATGTTGACTTAATTAATTTTTGACAGTGACGTCTTGCCGTTTAAACGTATCGAACTCACTTGATTTTTATCATAAAATGTCTGTTCTTTTTGGGTTGCTTTCATAACTCAGAGGCGCATATTTTCACAGGAGGTCCGCATTCGGAAAGTTTTACGATCACAGTGTAATTTTCACTTAAGCCGGGAATAAGCTGAAAATTCATTTTATTTTGAAGGGTTAATACCTATTTTCACCCCTGACATATGGGGTGTATTTGAAAAAACCCCCTGCCAAAAAAAAAGTTTCAATTGTTACCTTGACAAATTTTAAAAGTTTCAGTTTTTACCTTGAGGATGCCACATTCCTTCAGCAAGAATCGAACCAATCGAACCATGGACATACTATTTGCAATGAACGCTTCTTACCACTAGACCAATACATTTTCTTCGTTACATATATGCATCAATAAATATTCATATCATTAACATATTAATTACAATTATC